CCCCATCCTCCACACAGCAATCACGTGACTCGCCACCCCATCCTCCACACAGCAATCACGGGACTCGCCCCCCCATCCTCCACATAGCAACCACGGGACTCGCCACCCCATCCTCCACACAGCAATCACGTGACTCACCACCCATCCTCCACACAGCAATCACGGGACTCACCACCCATCCTCCACACAGCAATCACGTGACTCGCCACCCCATCCTCCACACAGCAATCACGTGACTCGCCACCCCATCCTCCACACAGCAATCACGTGACTCGCCACCCCATCCTCCACACAGCAATCACATGACTCGCCACCCCATCCTCCACACAGCAATCACATGACTCGCCACCCCACCCTCCACACAGCAATCACGTGACTCGCCACCCCATCCTCCACACAGCAATCACATGACTCGCCACCCCATCCTCCACACAGCAATCACATGACTCGCCACCCCATCCTCCACACAGCAATCACGTGACTCGCCACCCCATCCTCCACACAGCAATCACGTGACTCGCCACCCCATCCTCCACACAGCAATCACGTGACTCGCCACCCCATCCTCCACATATTCTTTCGTCAAATATCTAGAGTACGGTCGTTAAAGTCGGATCATGCACTTGGTATCTTATCCACTGACGTCCTGATCACCCAGGGACACGGAGTCCACATCAATCAACTTCAGACGTCATATCCTTGTCTCTCTTAGCGCCTGCGTCTTAGGTCCACGGTGGTCTTTTTAACGCCTTCATTAAAGCCACTCATTTCCTCTTGAATGGCTATTTAGTAGCAGCCAGTGGCGTCTAGCGCCCCCGCCCCCCACCCCCACAAGAAATTTGATTGACAGAATACATTAGAATATCCGGATTAATTTCCCATTTGATCACTAGCCCCCGCCCCCCACCCCCACAAGCCCCTCAAGAAATTTGATTGACAGAATACATTAGAATATCCGGATTAGTTCCCCCCACCCCCACAAGCCCCTCAAGAAATTTGATTGACAGAATACATTAGAATATCCGGATTAATCTCCCATTTGATCACTCCCGGGCTAGGTGGCGCTCAGGTGCGGCGCAAGAAGCGGCAGACGTTCAGTGGTTAGTTTCAGTCCTTTTTTTTTGTTTTGTTAACTCTTCCCTCATCCATAATTTTGGATTAATATTTTGATTTATTACGGGCTTTATATATCCTGTATTATGAATAATTACAGGTAATCCATCACGCTATAAATACATAGATGCCTGCCTATTCCCCACCTAGTACATAGATGCCTGCCTATTCCCCACCTAGTACATAGATGCCTGCCTATTCCCCACCTAGTACATAGATGCCTGCCTATTCCCCACCTAGTAATCCATATTCCCGTTCAGTATTTAATTCCACCTCTAGCATATTTAAAGTGGACACATGCGGTGGCGTAGCCAAGCGGGCTCGGGCCAACAAGGCCCCCCCCCAACCCACAACCCACAACCCACAACCCCCAACCCACAACCCACAACCCCCAACCCACAACCCCCAACCCACAAC